AGAACACGTAAAACAAAAAAACAATTCAAGCTAGAATTCGCTGTCATGCTTAACGGGGATGTGGGGTCTAGTCCCGGCCCGCAAAATTAGCAGGCTATAAAGGGCACAGTCTAGATGGAGTTTGACTGTACTTATGTGTGCTAAGATATAAGGTACCAGGCACTATTCAGACCCCCGCAGGATATCTTACATGCGAGACATACAGCAGAACGGCATATAAAAATAAAACTGTTCATTCGACACTTTTCTGGACTACCTGTAAGTGTCTGGCAATAAGTTCAGAAAAAAGTGTCTAATGGGTGACGTACGGCGCATACCTGCGCTAGTCCTCCAAGTGACAGAGTACACAACCAAAATAATAATGATCTTGTCCCCACCTGGAAAGTTTTAACACTCCACAGGGATGAATCTGTGTGATTACTTTTATTTTAATGCGGGCAAGAAAAGTGTTTCATTACTTCTCCGTCTCAGAGATGATTTCCTTCCGAACATATTTCCAAAGCCTCTCGAGGATCCAGAAATTCCTTTTCCTCATTTTTGTATGAAATCCGCAGTTGGGCAGGGTAGAGGAGGCCATAGTGAACTCCCCGTCGTCCCCGCAGCATCTTCCTCACGTCTGTGAATGCTGCTCTGGCTTGGCGACGCTAGAGGTGTAGTCCGGGAATATAGCTATGCGCCCCCGGCTGTAGTTTAGCGGAGCTAAGTCTCGGGCTCTTCTCAGAACTTCCGCAGCGTCTCCATCATAGTGCAGCTTGGCGATGATAACCCGTGGCTTGCCCCTGGTTTCCACAGGGCAAGGCTGCGATGTGACCGGTCTATCTTCATATCTCGGTCCATCTGCAGTACTTCTTTAAGAAGTTTGGAAACAGCCGTGGGAGAACTCGAACACCAACTATCCGTATATTCCCCCTTCTCATTCTGCCCTCCAAGTCTTCCCTCCTTTCTCTGAGTTTTTCGACTTGACTCTGAAGGCAGGCCACAGTAGTCTGAAGTGAAGCTACTTCATCAGACCATGTAGACAGTCCTCCCGCCATGTCTTTAAAGTCTGCCTTCACACGGTCCATTTCAGAGCGAACTGTGTTCGTATTATTGGTCATTTCTGATCTCATCGCTTGCAGTTCACTTTTCAAGGCATTAAAGTCTTCAACTAATGCAGTTTTCAGATCTTCCCTGATTATTTTAGATATATCTTCCCTGAGGGATGACAGGATATCGGACTTGATCGCTTCAGCAGTCATACCTGTAGCTTCGGTCTGTGTAGGCGGGTAGTGTTTCGGGCTACCTGAAGTATTGTGCGTCGAGGGGGGCTCAGGCCTCGCCGGGTTGTATTTGTATTTTCGAAGATTCGTTGTCATTCAAGTTGATATTCCTGCTTTAATTTGAAATATGAACTCTTAAATGTCCTTTGAGCGAGACTTTATATTACTTTAGATATGAGCAAAGCCGTTTAACAAATTCTGCAGGAGCTCTGAAAGAAACGTCTTACTCCATATCTTGCTCACTAGCGCCCCCCTAAACTGTCAAGCTTTATGTTATTTTCCAGATCTCATGAGCTCATGCATGTCTTGTGTGTGCTCAGACTAGGGAGGTGTTGGAAGGGTCACTCACCCGTGGGAAAATGGCCGCCAGGGAGCAGATGGTGAGAATGAGCAGCAAGACTTCCCCCACAGCTAGAGTCACGTAGTTAGCTATCAACCTGTCAGGAAGAGCACACAGTGAAAGAGATTAAAGGGACAGTGACACATGGCTAGGGCACAAAAAGAGGAAGAAAGGCAGGGGTTGTGACCGGGGTTACACGAACTGACCGTAATATTGTAAACAGACACTTGTGCCTGCCCAACTGCGTTAATTTCACCAACCTCAGCCCAGTGATACAGTTAACCGAGCGTCAGAGATACTGTAAGATATGGCAATTTATAAACTGATCTATCCTTCTTTTAGAATTTCTTCTATAGCTATTCTTCTAGAACTATTCTATCCTTCCGTTAGACACTGGAAATCGACCTGTTAAAACAGTTAAATTTTATCTGATAATCAATTGCCATGTAAATACTTGTAATTAACAGCTCAATTGTTTTTTGTTTACTGTACGCAATTATTAAAAACAAACAGTCAAACTGCATGATTACCTAACTGGCTTCCTAGCTGTTGACAGACATGACTCAAATAAACAAACATTACTCCCTCTAAGGGTGTTATGGGGTGGACTAAAGCACAGACTATTTAATTCACTCATGCAACCATGCAATTGGTCCATAGAGGTGTGTATACTGAGGTGTGTTTGTGTGTGTGTGTGACTCACAGAGGGTCTATAAGTGCCTCAATGACTGCAGTGAAGAGCAGCACCACACAGGAGCAGCTGAAGGCCGCCCCACTCTGCTTCTCCTTCTCCACTGAGAAACGTGTCTCCAGGTCAGGCTCCACAAAGCGCAGCGACAGACGGTTAGTGTACTTTCCCTTCAGTCTGAAACACACACCCCGCCAAAGTGTCAGATGTAGCAGTAGTTAACAATTCAATTCAATCTCTTTGCTATTGTAAATGTGTTTGACAACAGAAAGGTTGAAACTGACCTATCACATACAACAAATACATAAAGATAACACAGCACTTACGCCTGTACTGTCTCTCTCTCCAACAGTGCCTCATTTAGGAGTTTATTCAGCTCCTGCTCATTTTCCTGAGCATCAATTACCCTCTCAGCCAGGTCTCGCAAACGCAGACGCCGTCGGGGGTTTGGGAACGAGGGGTTCACCACCTGAGCGCACACACACACGCATGCGGGGATATTCATTATCCAGCCTGCTAAACCATCTGTTTTTGGAGTGTGAGCATACACATCTTAATTTGTGTCATACCACTTCATCTGAGAGAGACAGATTTACCTACATATGACACATTAGTCTGGTGACAAACAGAATTTAATTTCAATTTAAATTTTAAAGGGCCCATATTGCTTTTTGCTGGACCGTCTAGTGGACCAGCCTACAAGTCACTACCTCTCACTGAGTCACTTACTGACTGCGCAAACGTTGCCAGAGATAGAGAGTAGGTGGCGCTATACAACATTAGGCCTAAATGAAGTCGTATAAATACACACACACACACACACACACACGCATGTAAACCGCTTATCCTCCTGGGTTGCGGGGGCGGGTGCTGGAGCCTATCCCAGCTGAAATTGGGCAGAAGGCAAGATACATCCTGGACAGGTCGCCAATCCGTCACAGGGCAGACAGACAGACACATATATCCACACACCCAATTACACACACATTGATACCTAGGGGCAATTTAGCATGTCCAATTGGCCTGATTGCACATCTTTGGACTGTGGGAGGAAACCGGAGTACCCGGAGGTCACCCACGCAGACACGGGGAGAACATGTAAACTCCACACAGAAAGGACCCTGGTCGCTCGGCCGGGAATCGAAGCCAGGCCCTTCTTGCTGTGAGGGTGTTATAAATATTGAACAGGAAAATGGAAGACACATGGATCCAACATATCATGGGTCTTACAAAAACAACAAAAACTTTTCATAATAAGCTCTTATTTGAAGAATTGTTTCACTCTTTCAGGAGAGGATAAAGTCATTAAATGCTAATACATAACCAGTTATAGCACCCAAATGTAAAGTGGAATAGTATAATGCTAGTAATAATAGTGTAATTAATTATTATTAGTAGTAGTAATAGTTGTAGTAGTAGTAGTAGCAGTACTTGTTGTAGTACTATGACAAAAGGTTTCTGTATTTCTTGACAAATAGTGTCTTGGTTAAAAAAATCGAGTCGCTGGTAAAATTTAGGCATCTACCAGGCACTGCATTCCAGTGGACCACCCTGGACATAAAACAAGCATATTTTATATTCTGTCTCACAGACACTTGCTTGACAAATGCCATGCAGCCGATAGCAGTCCAGCAAAACCAGGCTTGTCAATTCTTTGAAATGAAAGAGTTTGATGCAATTTGATAATATTGATAAGTTTAAAAACATACTGTTCACTTCCCAGTCTATATAATCTCTACATACAAAATAAGCTACAAAAATAGGCTGTTTTGAATTTGTCATGCTAGTTCTATCACAACCATGAACAAATTGGCATCACTACCCACATTCACACTAAAGCAACAAGGAGCTTTACAGCAAACTGTCTGTAGCACAGTTTTGTGCAGAAGTTGCTGAGAAACGTGATTAAACGTGTTGTTCCTGACTGTCAGACAGCAGTGTTATTGCTTAACCTTTTAAAGCATCCAGACACCCGAAATGAGTAGTAATATCATTTTTTTGTATGATTCCTTAGGATTAAGTCCAGACTTAACAGTTTGTTACATACATTTTAGCCCACACTGCTTTTTGCACAAGGCAGAATGTATAGCATATATCAGTCTTAAAGGCACAGTAATAGTCATGTTAATGACCATGTAAATAAAGGAATTACTGGTACAAAAATTAACACACATTATAAGCAGACTTCAGGAAAACAAAGAAAATGCAAAAGCTCTTGGTTAAAGTGTGTGTGTGTATACCCGAGTGTCCAGCTCCTCTGGCTCCTCCGGTGTGGTGCAGGCTGTGTGCACGCTGCCATTGCACTCTGTTGTGTTGATCAACAGTGGAGAGTTCCCATTAGAGGAAGTCACCGACAGCTTCTGAATTAAACCCAATGGAAGAAAATATGAGAATGAAAGACAAAAAGAAGATAAAAGTGAGATTGAATGCTGTCCTGTGGCTTTTTCATGGAGCAGTATAAGAGAAACTGGAACAGAAAGCAACACTCACTACACCATTGATGCCATTCTTGCTTATAGGGCCCTTGGGAACAACAACCAGATAAGTCTCGATGCCTCTCTCCTTCAGGTATTCACAGCGGTCACCCCCATTCCCTGGCTCCACATCAAATTCACCATGAAGACATTCTAGTGTGTTCTGAGAGATGTGCACTCGCCTACCAGCCACAGAGCAGAGCACATATGTTAAAAAGCCTCAAAGTCTCAAGCTGTCAGAGAAAATATGTAAAGCAATTTATCTGGGCAGTAGGCATTTACTTATTCGAAAAAAAAAAACACTACAAAACATGAATAAATATATACATATAAACAAATAAACAAAACATTGTGACTTTGTGTGTCTGTGTTAATCATTTCCAAAACTCTCCTCATGGAAGTCCAATATTTACAGTTACCATCCAATATACAGTTAAGATCAATGCTTCATTAAATTAAATCAGGCGTGCTGCTGATGGAATTCAAAGGGGCCATACGGAGAGCCGAATTTTCTCAGGTTTTTGGAAATAAATCTAGTATTTGATATATGTATTATGGTAAATATGCTATTTAATGTAGAGTTTGATGTAATGTAAGTGCAGAGTATTCTGTACACTTGTAACTTTTCCTATTTGTGTAATAAAAAACACTTTCTTGTTTTTTATTAGCGATACATCTGAGACATTGTCATATATCCTTGTTTCCATCAAAACGATTGGCAAGACCATCTAAGCTGAGTTTGGACATCAAACTGGACTTTACTAGGCTTTTTTTCCTATGGTAGCCTCATTCATTGCACATATTGTTTATATTAATTCATTTTTTTAAAACGGGTAAGATAATGACCAATCTTATGCAATTAAATTTCATATAACTTAAAATGCAGGAAAGCGTTGTACGGAAAACTGCTCCGTCCGTGGAAGCTGGTGTACAGAATACGGACGGCACAAACTAATGACACAGATGACTTTTTTTCTTGTTTTCAAAGTCCAACCAATTACTACATACTATATGACTTGAGGTATTTTCGCAATAACTACTGAAACGCGAAAAGTGCCGACGTGCTGTACAGAATACTGCACTCCTACGTTAGTATGTAAAAATTGTTCCAAAACCAAAATACCATTCACTCTCCAGATCATACACTCCCTACATGGAAACTATGCTGCAGAAACAGCCTTTTTTGAATTTGTTGTTTTTGTGATGTCATGAAAACCAGCTTCAGCCTACAACAGTTTAGTCCTGCCCATTCACACTGAAATTATAAGAAGTGTTTCAGCTAGGTCGGTTTTCTGAATGAAGTACAATACAGGGCAGCCAATCAAAACAGAATTTACATTTATCAGTCTTAAAGGTACAGTAACAAAAATACCCTGTTTAATTCTAAGAGGTAGAGGGAGGTTGGAAAATGAATTATAACTGTTTTTAGTACAGAAATCCACATACGACATATGTGTACCCCAGGGAAAAAATAACACTGCCAAGATTAATAGTTTAATAGTTTTCATAGCTGAATAAGACTTTGCACAGTACTGTATGTCCAACAGTATCCAGACACCCCCTTTTATTAGTGGATTCAGCTACTTTAAGCTGCACCCATTGCTGATTTAGGTGTTAAAATGCATGGATGCAGCCATTTGATCACCACAGAAAAGACCTGGCAGGTGCTCGGGAACAAACACAACCATGAGATCACCACACATCAGCTAGATGGACGAAAAGCTCCCTTGTATTGGTCTGGGGAGAAATGGATTGCTGTGATCAAGCTTCATCAAACACCTTTAGGATGAGTTGGAGCAGCATTTGTGATCCAGAACTAATCATCCAACATCACTGCTTTACCTCACTAATGCTCTTGTGGCTGAATGCAATCAAATCATCAGTATAAAGCTTTCTCAGTAGTAGAGTAGAGGCTGTTACTGCAGTGGACAAACTCCCCATAAATACCTGTGATTTCAGAAGAAATGTTGGCTAAGCAAGTGTCTACAAACTACAGGAAATAGAATGGGCACAAGAGCAGCACATCTGAGGACTCACCCCGGTATCCCCCCAGCCTCCATTTTGTTTGCCACAGTCACATCCGTGGACCATACATCATACTGCCAGCGCTTCTGTCCCAGCACTCCGCCAAGAACTGTCCCAGAATGCACCCCAACACGCATGTCAACATCTGTCTGTGTCTTCTCTCGAACATAGCTGAAATCCAGATGCACATGGACACCATATGAGCAAACATAAACAACGTTCCAAACAACTAAAAAGCACCATGACAGAGAACTTGACATTGCTTCAGAATAGAGGGCTGTGCGTCACTTACGAAATAGCTTCCACCATAGCCAGCCCCATCATTATGGAACAGGCTGCGTGGTCATCTCGGTAATCAGGAAGGCCACAGATACAATAGTAGCAGTCTCCAAGGATTTTAATCCTCAGCTGGTGGTATTTCTGCAAACAGAAAAGGGGACCACTTTAAATTAATAATAGTTTATAAGACAACTCTTTATCAATCCCCGAAGTTAAGTTAGAGTGTTCCAGCAGCATACATACAAGCCAAACATAGAATACACAGAGGTAAGGTAAAATGAACAGCATGTATAGCATAAAATACTATGCAATACTATAAAAATATATGTATGTTTGTGTGCGTGTGCATGTGTGTGCTTGTGTGTATATATATGTGTATATATATATATATATATATATATATATACTATAGCTCTGCTAAGGTACAACAAATACAGTATGGGTGTTACACTCATCCTCAAAATATTAAAGTATATGAAGTATAAATGGTATATCATAAGACATCTATTAGCTTTTACTTGAGGAATAATGAATTATTAATCTGGAATTTAGCTGTTATTCAGTAGTTGTGAACAGACACTGTGAGTATCCTAATTACAAAGATTTCTGAGGTTTACGCTTTTGATTGCTTGTGGGGAGAAAAATATAATCACAGACACAAAATCTATGAGCTTCTATGAAATTCAGATGTTATTCATTATTAGTGAACAGATCCTGAATTTAAACTTAAATTTGGGCTTTATTTTGCTTGGGCTGAAAAAAACAAATCATCTTGACTTATAATGCAATGTGCCTTTTTTGTAAACCCCATTAAAGAATGACAAAACTTTAGGCCTTGGAGTCAACAATAAGGAGTGATTGTCCTTGTTATGTTTTAAAGTTAAAGCAATTCAATATATGAATATATATATATATAAATATATATATTAGGGGTGCGGGAAAAACTCGATTCTTAGATGCATCGCGATGAGGACGTGAACGATTCTAAATTCTAGATTCACAAATGTCAAAAATCGATTTTCTAAATATTTAATTTATACCGTAATGTTGACGGAACGCAAAAGGCGGGACTGGAAGTGGGTAAGTTCAGTGTCCGGACAGTCTGTGGCGGCACATAAAAACACAACTGGATGAGCGAGAAATCCGACCGACAGCCTCTGCATTAAAGCCAGGTTAGATCAGGAGTCACAACACAAATGTTCAGAAGAGACATTTTGCCTTTCAACAAAGTCAAACCACCTTGGGAGCCACAACATTGTCCAGTATGTGTTAATGTCCTAGTATGGGCTAAAAATATAAACGAGAGCGCAGATTTACTTCACTCTGCTTTAAGCTTTAGCTATAGCCGCTTTCCTCCCATCTCCACCAGAAAACTTTTCTTCAAAACTAGAAGAGTTTCATGTAAAATGTCTCAGCATCCGGCTGTTTTATGAGGCTGAAGTCGCTTCTCATTCGCCAGCTTCTCTTTCGAATTTTCCCATTCCACCTTAAATTCTGCCTTAGGCGCTGAATGTAACTGCTGCACCGTTTGAGGTGGAACGGGAAAATTCGAAAGAGAAGCGAGTTCATTTTCGCAACTTTTTAGAGAAATGCAGTCTCTTGTTGCAGGTTTAACCAACCGCACTGCTTATAAATGCGAATAAGTCCTCCAAATGTTTGTCTTAATCTCTGTTTTTTCGTTCGCTACTGGCGAGGCCAGACCTCGGTGCTATCTTACCTGCTGTCTGCTAACGTGCTGCGTGGACACAGGCAATAACTTTACTGTTTGCTAAACACTGGATCTTATTTCAGGGTAACAGCGCATTTTATCGCAGATGAGCGGCAGCAGCGTCTCTGAATGAGAGCCTTCTAGTTCACTTGCCACATCACTTCCATTTGATTTATTAATAAAAGATATTTTAGATATTTAAAGCAAAGTATTTGTAATGATCCACAATGCATTTATATTATGGATCATTACAAATACTTTGCTTTAAAACTACCAAGTCCTCAGACAGTAGGAAGATAGAAATCCTGTATAGAGAACAAAGATGATATAGATAGATAGATAGATAGATAGATAGATAGATAGATGCTTGTAAGTCATTTACAAAATAACAATGTTCCAAAGCAAACTCTTACTCTTAATCTGTTAATTTATTTATAAATTATAAACATTCATATACCCTAGAATAGAAGATTCTGATAAACTACAATAGGAGATACTAGTCCATCAACAACCTCAATAAATACTCCTATACACTGGAATGTGTGATATTAATCTGAAATAAACCTAAATAAACACACCTATTCACTGGAATGGGAGGCATTAATCTGTAAACAACCTCAATAAACACTCTTCACTGGGATAAAGGATGTTAATATGTAAACTTTACATTAGTTTGCAAACATCCTAAAAGCTAAATACCCATATCAAAAGCTAAACAAATGTGGCTTAATTGTCAGTATGTTACCAATGAAGATAGTGGATGAAAAACAATCTAAAACAATAGAGCAAGCAATGCAGCAGGACAAACAATAATAGAGTAACTTCAAAAAGTTGACTTATGAACTTATGAACATTTCTAAATATTCAGATATATAGAGTTATTTCCATTTTACACTGACAATGACAATGGTTTGTCATTTTAACCATAATTATTTCATGTGGTAACAAGCAGTATAAACTGGTTTTATTCAATTAAAATAAAAACTTTGAATGAAACAAACATTTACCCACGTACCACCGCTTCAATACTGATTTCTGCTGTGGAATTTGCAACTTTATGTGAGCATTAAACTAGCGGTGGTGTATATTCACACTGTATGGCTCTAGCTTTAATACAAACAGTTGAAACTTGTACCAGACATTCAAGTAACATATTACTTTGCTTTGTATGTTGGAACTTTATAGTCCTTAAATTATCTTCATTCTTCCATGTAATGTGTGATGGTGTTATCCACTGTGCTATCACTGCCATCCAGCAGAACACTCTTTTGAGAATGTCATTCTTTCATTACTGCCAAATACAACCAACAGGTCAGACTTTTGAACAAATATTTTAGGCTTTACATGGTGACTAAGGATAGTTCAAGGGCTGTTTAAGGGTATTTTCTATGACTAAGTTTAAGTATATATAGACAATGTTTAAGTGAATTTTTCTCTTCTGGCTCAACAATTTAGTGCTGCTTTAATTATGTTATTATGTTTTATAAAGTACACATGAATGAAGTAGATAAATAATATATTAAGCAATAATGAATAATAAATAATGAAGTCTCCTGTTTAGTTCATACTTTGCCAATTATGACATAGAAGCTTACAGTCATTTTGTATTGTGTTTTCTTTCCCGCAAGCAACAGAAAGCCTAAATGTAAGGGACTAGTAATATATATTTACAATTAGTGAATAACAACTAGATTTGCTTAAGATTAGTTAATTATGCAATAATAGCTTATAAGTGCTCTATAAACAATAATAACGAAAAACTCTAAATATCTAAGTAGTTCATGACTAATTAATTAAGGGCTAATAGATGTCTTATAAACTGACGTTGTTATAAACTGTTTCCAAGAAAACAGTACATGAGAATCACATTTGTAGGTAGAATATAGACTATAGGTCATGATATATAAAGGAGGACTTGGACTTTTCCAGAAGACATTTGCATAGCATTAAAGTACAGAGTTATGTTTAGGTCAAGTGTTAGAGTTTGTTCATAAATTACCAAGATTTACAACTGCCTAGTGGTACTGGACACAAACATTTTACACTAATTGTGTGTGAGAGGTACAATGCAACATGATACATGTGGATTTCTGTGGATTTCTGTGTACTTACAGCAGCCAGCTTGTCAAAACGGGCAAACAGCTCATTAAGCAGCTTGACTAGCTCCTGTGCACTACAGGAAGAGGAGAGTTGAGTGAAGCCCACAATGTCCGCAAACAGAATACTGCAAAAAACCCAAACAAAGTTTCATCAAACTGGGGCACTAATTGTTTTTACTCTGGACATATTAAGCCTTTTTCCTCTTCTCTTGGTTGTGAAGGTCCTGTATTGGTTGGGCCTTACCTGACATTCTCATGGCGATACATGTACATGGTGTTGAACTGCTGCATCTCTTTCTGACTGGCCTCTTTCTTCATGTCCTGTAGCATCTCATCTGCTATGTGTTTGGGCAGAATGGACAGCAGGAGACGTTCCTGTGTGCAGAGTAACACTGTAACAGTGCGAGTGACAGAACAAAGTGCAGGAAAATGCAATCTGCGGTCTTCTATGTGCCTTACATAAATGGTCTGGCGAAAAATTTAGTTTTCACAATTTAACACCTACACAGCTAAAAAACACTAAAAGTTAATAGGCACCAAATCTTTTCCATAAATAACTGCATTATTGTTATGACTTCATTTCACATTCAATTTCACATTGAAGACATGTTTATAAATAAGACAACCAAAACTGTAAATACAATCTAGTGTCCATATGCCTGCGCCACAAGGATGCACAAGAAGAGGAGTCGGAATGCATTGTCTTAACTGGCTGCCCTCAGCGTTCAGCTACAAGTTTTGTTGATTTTCGTACTTAACAGCAAAGCTGTGCCTACACTACATGGCTTTCATAACCCTAATAGATTTCAAAAACAGAGCTTAACACACTTCACATCCATCTTTAATAGAATGTCCTGTTGTTTTGTCGTGAGGACCCACACACTAGACACACTCTTTCTTTTCTAGACACACTCAATTACATTACTGACTGTCTCACACTACAGGACTTTTTCAGCACTAAATATCAAACATGTTTAAAAATATCAGAGGCTCTCTGATCACTTCAGAGCTCGATTGGAGGTCTAAAGATTGACTTGTTTCTTCTCTGAGATTCCCAGATTATCCACATAGCCAATCACTTCAGATTGAGCTCCCGAACTGTCGCTTCAATTTGGGAAAACTTGTCAGAAAGAGCAAATCAGGGTTACAATCGGGCTAAAATCATGTTGTGTAGGCCCAGCTTAAGTCATTCTGTGTCTTAAACCACACTGACAAGTCTGTGTAACTGTAATAATGACCTATAATAAAGTTTTAAGGGGTAAAGATGAAGTTTTAACGATGTATTGATAAAAAAAGATTTGGGTGACTATTGACTTTTAGTGTTTGTTAGCAACATTTGCCTTGTAGCACCAGTTTAAAAATAAACAAGTAAAACTGGGACACCAAACATGCCTTTGCTGATCAGCTCTATCTGTGGTAAGTGGTAAATTGTGTAAATTTGATTGTTCACTTTACCATTTTTTAAGCATGGATGCTCTGCTTGAATAAGTTAAGTGGTCTTTTCATAGCTATGGGCAGCATGTCTGTTCCAGTTGGGAAAGTATTTTTTCAAAAACAAAGCTACAGTGTAGTTTCAAAGCACATAATTGCTCAGTGATGACTGTCATAATCTGCAGTAAAAAAAAGCCAGTACTCAGTCTGAGAAGAGCTCTGAAACCCGAAATGCCCTGACTAGTGGAATTACTGTAACAGAACACAAAAATGGCAATCAGGACTGCCTCACACACACATACACTCACCTCATACTCTCACATACATGCGGGGGGGTTGAACAGCATAACAGGTCTGTAAAATCAACTACAAATGTGGCCATAAAAGGGAAATAAAGGGCAGAAAAAAATCAAGAGGAGACAGTCTGCGGTGTGATTACAGCTGACATCGTCTCAGGAGGCTGGTCGCCATGGTAACCTGCAGCAGCCGGATGCTCCTTGATTGGCTGGCAGGCCCTGTCTCCCAGCAGCCCTTGTTTCTCCCATTAGTATTCAGGGAGTTTCTCCTGTTATCAGCCCTCTCTCTCTCTCTCTCTCTCTCTCTCACTCTCTCTCTCTCTCTCTCTCTCTCACATACACATACGCCACGCGTGCACACGCACATGCACACACTCACACCTCTGCACCCTTCTTATATCCTATCCTTATCGCCTCCTACCCTCCATGCCCCGCTTCTATCGCTAGCAGCAACTGTCTGCTCCATATATAGCAGCAATCAAGAATGCCCAGTGGCCACAGCTGTGAGAGCAGAGAGGGGGAGGAATTGACTGCTGACTCTGTAAACACACACACACACATACACACAGCGTGCACAGTCATAACAGTGCACACACACACACACACACACACTGAGAGCACTCAGTCACAACACCAGAACAGACAGGGGAGCACATGACTCACAGTTCAGCTAACACATGCTGTACCTCTAGCGCGATATCACAAATGCAAGGCGGCTTGCTTCGCCCAACATGTTTCACCACTAATCTCATGCACTCTTTGCTCAGGACCATCAGAGCGGTGCATCAAGCCCTTCCTGCATCTCTGATGACCTATCACTCCAAATACCCACAATTATTACACTGTGTCAGTCACTCTTGACAACCAATAACACCACTCAGCCTACACACAGCACGCACAGCGAGTGCCATCAGCGAAAGCAAGATATTATGCAACTAACATCAGACAGGTGCTATGTTAGGCAGCTAAATGACTTGAAAATCCCTTTCCATTTTTCCCTTTGTCTTCACCTGAGCCTTACATCTTCATAGTTGATTCCCTGCACTTGGGCTGATAAGAATAGATGCTGCAAGTTCTGAACGAGGGCCAACTTGTTGCTCCCATGAGTCATATGCTTTGCAACAAAGTGGTGCAAAGGACAGAAGGTGATTTAGTCCTGTACTAAACCAGCTGCTTCGGGTCATGTTCTATATAAAGGGCATGCAAAAGAGTTGTGGAAACTCTTCAGATGTATAGTGACATGTGTGTAGAATTATTTGTGCAAAAGAACCCATTAATATTTCAGCCTATATGGAGTTTTACCATCTTTAAAATAAAGGTGAAGAGGTAGGCCGAACATCAAATCTACAATTTCTGCAATAATTATATACTATATTTATTTCTATAATAACAGAAACTGTACTATAATGCAATTTTTACAGTATTTTCAGTTTCCATGCACAAAGATAAACAGGAATCCATTTTAAAGCTATCAACAGGGCACAGCAGAAGATACTTTTTACACCTGGTTTGTCTGCTAAAAGTTGCACCAGGCTTTGGATTTTTGCAACACTGTATCATTTTCATTTAGTTTGGGTGGTTTTACACCGCATGTGTTCTTTGATTGATTTGTCAGGAATACAAGCACTCATTTACTTTTGCCTCCATTATTGCCAAAAACTAAACCTTTTCAACTTTCACTAGCTTGTCGTATGGAATCCATATCTATCCCACATACTCTTAACATAAACTCTTTTCCATATGTTGCATGAAAATATGCTTAATGTGTACTTACATCAAAATCAAAGAAATAAAAAAAACTTACTTAATCTCTGTTCCTTAAGACTATTTTTTCAATTAGAATATTTAATGCATTTCAAGACTAAATGCAATGCTACACTAATATTTTACTGCTCATCTTTCATTATTAGCAGTAGCTTGTGCTGCAAGAATGACATGAGCATCTATCATGAGTCAAATGTTAAAACAGGCAGATCACACAGACAGTAAAGCACTGATGTTCATCTAGAAGAAGAGGAAAGCATGCTTGTTGTTAAATTCTTTTGTACCATCATAAAAATGCATTCCCACCAGCATCAAAATGAACCACAGTTCACTTGGAAATGGACCAAAACCCACAATTTTTAGTGGATCATGGTTCAGTTGTTTGGTGTGCACCTGAGTACAGGTGGAGTGTGTTTACACCTGTCAAAACAGAGCAAACTAAAGAAAAGGTTTAACTGGTCTGCACCATTTACACAGGCATGAAACCTACGCCCTAAAAAACCTACTAAGCAACAAACACAGAGCAAAGCTGGAACTCAAACAGGGCATTTTGTCAGTTGTATCACTTGGAATCTCCCCAAATTTCCTCTGCTTACCTGCTGCTGGCTCTGTTCCTCTAGGTTCAACTTCACCTCCAGAGATTGCCTGGCCTCCAGAAAGGCCTTACGGTGTTTGCGGTCAGCCATGTAATATGACATGACCCCCACTGTGATGGCACATAGGTAGATCAGGATGTTGGCCAGTAGCTAAAGAAAAAAATTCAATATAATTACCTTTCAATCAAATTGTTCATACAAAAGGTAATGCAAACATATTGCTGGTAGAAACAAACACAAGCACTGACACACCCAATACCCATTGTAACTGCTAAGCTACTCTATCAGCACACTTTGCTTCAGGTCAGTAAAATATCTACTAAATCATTTTAGAACAAAGTGGTAGCTCTACTGCTTTGTTTGATATAAAGGGCAGGGAATATGAAAGACCAGTAGGTGATATCTGATTAAACCTTTTTTTAAATTTGCACTTTTATTGCTTGTACACTGGAATCCAAGGCCTTCATATGCTAACAGAAGGAGTGAGGAAGCTTCTCTGATCTTTTGAGGAATCTACAAGGAATTTCCTTCAAGAACAAATGTTTATATTCCATAAAGTTGATGTCAACAAAAATCACTCTAAAAATCATGGGGAGGCCTTAATGTGTCTAAACAGTTTGGCTGTTTTTTAAACACTTGTCTGATTAATGCAGGAAATTTAGTCCCAGGTTTCTTCCTTATCTCCACACTATCTCCTCCTGCAGTGCATCCTAATCTCTGTTTTTTTGTGCCACGTCTCTTGGGGCTGCAGTTTGTACCAAAAACAGCCCTGCTGAGTTAGGACCCTGGGAACCCAACACCCACCTGCCTGTCTGGCCCTGCCTGCCACCTCATCGCCACACCAGCACAGCCAAATATCAGCAGGACAAAAACAGACATCCTGATTGTTCTGAGTTTTCTTCCTCACAAAGAAAGACTAGCGTGGTGCTCAAAATATAGCCTGAACAATGTGCAAGTTAAATTCTTAACCACAGAGTGATGCCCCCATCATGAATGTGCGTACATGCTTCCGTATAGCCTTTTTTTGACTACTAGGATTTCCCATTTTCTGTTATGAGCACAGTAAAATATAAATGCACTCAAACAGTTGTGATCCTCTATGTATTTTTTAAGTAAAAATACATTTTTGCAATGCATGCTGCATTATAATGTATTTCACAGCATCACAATGCAACCTCTGTATAGTAATATGTATTATATATCATTACATTAATACTCAGCCTGAAGAACGTGAGATACAAGCAGGTAACTGAGAGCCTGTTTCAACTGTAATCTAATTTTAGTTTTAAGTAGTTTAGTCATAGCTACCAGTAACTTTCAGCAACCATCACAAACATTTATTGGTAATATTTTACTTTCAGGTTCAGATAGAAATATTGTACCAGGCATATGGAAAAGTGGGCCCTGATGCTGCATCTATTAAATAAAGGGTCACCAGGCTTGCAATCATGAGTGACATTAAGCTACTTATTAATTAACTATGAACATATCACTAATTTATAATGAATAATTAATGATAGCTTCGAATTTGCTAAGTGTTTTATTTTTCTCTCAATGGCAACTTTTCTCTAATTTAATAAGTCAGTAGAGACCAAAGGGTACCTTAGCTAACTACTTCCTGTATTTCCCATGTGAAATGTCTGCGGTTTTAAAGGCATAGAGTATTGAACCTTCACACAGAGCTTAATAAAACTGAAATACAGTGAAAGTGTAAAGAAAGCATAAATGAAATGTAATCACTATTCTTAAAAAATCTTCTCAACAGTTTTATAAATCAAAATGCAGCTCGAAATATGGTGTAAGAGAAATTGCTTATCATTATTAACTACTACTACTACTACTACTACTAATAATAATAATAATTAAAGCATTCATACCACTTCGGCAGTTACGTATGCTGCAAACTATCATTATATAAAGCCAAAGTTAAACTAGAACCAACACTGTGGCTTTAAAAAAAATCATGTCTTTGTAGCAGCCTCTCCAGAGAGTTTGTGTTTAGCCCGAATACAAAAAACCATAAGCTTTTATTTTCTGAAGCTCTGTCACTAGTTGAATCAGACTTTGGTCATAATCCCCTTGAGGGCTTGTACGTGATGAAAAGGGCTGACTGCCTTTGAGGAAACTTGAGAGAAAGATAAAAAAGTCTTTATGGCCTGATATCTTAATGTATGATGTTCCTTTAGCATCTGAAGGTCTGAACAAAGATGAGCTTTCTCAGTGTACCAAGAAGCCTTACCGCAGAGGTCTTTCCAGATCGCCCTGAATTATAATGTACGACAGCAGGGGAACATTGCAGATTGAGAGACTAAAAATGGATGGGATTTCATGTGATAACATAAATTGACAGTAATGTGACCCAAAACGTTGAACCCCAAAGACCTTCTACAGCCTGCCTAGGATGTATTCAACTCCGAGGGGTCTTGAAGAGTCAGGTTCCAGCACAATTCGGTCATTTGTCCATGATTTGTAGCTGTGCTTGGCATGGAAACCACCAAACTATTCTGGACACCGGCCCTCCAGGACCCTGCTCTGTCCCTTCTCCAGAACCATCACATTCACTTACTTATTTGGAATTTATTTAGACCATGGCATTTTGTCTTATCAATGTTTTACCCACGTTTTTGTGTAAAACTATGATTTTACGGTAAAAAATGCCATTTAAAAGTGCCATTTAAACAAAGAGGATGATCATCATAACTTCTCTCAGTGACTCAATGTATCAACTTTCCCCCAACGTTTTATCCCCAACTTCCTAACCTGTCTTCCAAGAGCAGCTCCCTGGATGTCTTCCTGCTGCTGCTGAGCAATGGTGACCCCCAATACCAGAGTGTGCACCCCACAGGACACAGTCGTGATGAGCACTATGGGCGTCAGCCGCAGCGGCAGTGTTAAGAAGAAGGAGAAGCTGAAGAAGGCCTGCCAGCCGACCGTGTCGCTGGCCTGGTGGAAGCGGGCAAAGTTCAATCCCAAATAACAGAAGATCTGGGCGGCTATGAGCACCCAGAGGGCATAGGGCACCAGCCTGCGGGAGATGCGCTCTGGCAGCAACCCATAGCGACACAGCAGATAGAGCAAGATGTCTGCGGCCAGGCCCACGGATGCCACCGCCACAGATGCCAGCTTATCGCTGGTGTAGACCACAGTGCACATTACGATCACATAGCAGTCGAAGAGGGCCGCAAACACGACCAACACCAGCAGGGTTTCGTGCCGCTGCCGGCGGAAATAGGTCTGGTAGAGGTTCTCCAGAGAGTCTGGGGCAAAGGTGAGCCGCATGAAGCGGGGCAGACACAGGCAGCAGCCCGAGCTGCGCACGGTCACCTCATGGGTGCGTCCGACCGCCTGGCCAGGGTCAGACGGCAGCGTGACGGAGCAGTCCGCTGAGTACTCAGCTGAATACTCTGGCTCAGAGAAGGCCCGGTTCCGAGGCATTTTGAGGAGCTGAGGAATTAAATGAAGAAAGACAGAAAAAATATAGGTGTATATTTTTGGCGTCACTGCAGCTCTTTACATAAGTGGATCTTCAAAAGTACATTGTGCTTGCTTGTCTGGTCCCCTCTTACTTCCTGCGTCATACAAGCTTTTGACCTGAGGGGTACATTTGACGAGGGGATTCAGCGCGGTCTCCTGACTGTCATACCTTGTGGTTTGCGACATTAAACTGGATTTTCCTCGTACGTATTTAACACCAGCAGTTTATGACCATGGAACCTTCACGCTTTGGCAGTTGAGATGTTGGCTCAGAAAAAAAGGTGTCTGTGTGCGCTGGACTCAAGCAAACAACCTGCTCCACACCTCTGTGGTCAGAACTGTGCAAAGAGAAGGCTCAGCACGGCCACGGCATGGCTCGGCTGCATGGGCAAAAGGAAAAAAAGGAGGAAAAAAAAACAAAAGCTAAACCAAAGGTGTCCCTGTAAGCATGACTGTTTACATGTGTGTCACTTTCTGCGCCTCCTGGCCAGGATACAGCCGAGGTGGCCACCACCGTCCACTCCAGGTTTCCATGGTGACCTCGCCTCGCATGGACAATGAGCACAGGACTCAGCAAGGAAGGGATGAGACGGATTATTGGAAACAAGATTTGGTCGGGAGATGTGACACGATGTGCAAATGAAATTACACACACATACACACAGGTGGCTGATAAAGGCGGAGGGGAGAGAGGCGGCCAGTCACGAGGGGGATGCCTGAAAGGCTCGCTCCAGTGTAACCCCTGCGCAGATATTCTGGCCTTATCAAAATGGCTTTCGTGGCCTGATGCTGTGTACTTCTGTATCCCTCTGTAGTCTACACGACTTACAGGAAATTCACTTGTTGGCGTTCATCTTCTTCACCTTATCCGACCATTGCGCAGCAGCCCTCAGTGAAAAAAAAAACAGAATAGAGAGATACAGAGAAGAAAACGCGTACAGGAAATACATGTTGCGCTTCCATCACATTGAGAAAGAGAGCTGGCGTCTGCCTTCAAAACATGGAAATGCGGGCTAGTAATAGCCTGAGCCGAACCTGATGAAGACGAGCACTTTCTGTCTGTCATCTGGTAACGTAGCATGTGGAGCACATCTTTCCATTTCAGGTGCTGATCGTGTTAAAGCCTCTTCAGGTCTCCGGTCTCTGTGGTGTGTGTGATCCGACTCGCTGCTTTCTGGAACTGATCATGCAGAACATACAGATCACCAGAAAGCAACAGCAGCAAAAAGGAAAAAAGAGAATAACACCGTAAAAAATCGCTCTGGAAATGGACCGGTGTCACAGCGGCAGTCGACGAGACCCACACAGGCTCTCCAGCGTGTGTCCATCAGCCAGCAGCAGCTCCGTTCGGCCCCATTCGTCCAAAGCGGTGATTAAAAAACATAAATCCCAACCGCTGTAGAAAATCCGTCCGCAGGAACAGTCACAGGCGAGGCGATGCTCAATCGCTGCAAATCCGCCCCGCGCCTATTATTCGGAAGTGCTCCGACTTTCACCAATAAAAGTCACCGCGGATTGCGGATTGAGAGCTGAAGCTTTAGACTAAACCGGGCTGAGAGGAGATCAGCCTTCGGCTCCTCACCAGCGAGGCTTCATCTGCGCTCAGAACCTTCACACAGCACAGCACGCCGCGCGCAGTTCTGTCTTTCTGTCTTCCTCCCTCTCTCGGTCCACACTTTCTATATCCAAGCCCGTCCCTCTCTCTCTCCCTCCCCTCCCCCCCACCCTATCTCCCCTCCTCTTCCTCCTCCCCCTCACACACCGCTCTTTTTCGCAGGCTGTGGTGAAGAGAAGAGCATGGACGCAGGACCAGCCTGCTAAACAACTACTAATGTCAACACAGCTCTGAGACTGAGACTGACACTGAGACTAAGACTGAGACTGAGACTGAGACTAAGACTAAGACTTTGGCTATGGGAGCTGCACTCACTCAGCCTGCCTTCATTTTATTCAGGCAATTTCACTACAGTTCTAAGACTCTGTGTGACTCTCTCTCTCTCTGTCTCTCTCTCTCTCTCTCTCTCTCTGTCTCTCTCTGTTTTTGTTTGCTTCTTTGTTTGTTGTTGTTTCTTTCTTTCTATCACTCTTCTTTCTTGCTCTGTTGTCATCTATCTGGCTATTCTTTCTTTCTTTCTCTCTTTCTTTCACACTCACTTTCTCACTCACTATCTCTTTTACTCTCTAGTGCTCCCTTTCTTTCTTTCTTTCTTTCTTTCTTTCTTTCTTTCTTTGTTCCCTTTTTCACACCTTTGTTTTCTGTCTGTCTGTTTTTCTTTGTTTCTTTCTTCTCTTTTGTCATGCGTTTGTCTTCTATCTGTCTTTCTGTTTTTCTTTGTTTGTGTTTCTTTATGTTCTTCCTCTCTCTCTCTCTCTCTCTCTCTCTCTCTCTCTCTCTCTCTCTCTCTCCCCCCTACAGGAACAGTGGTGGTGTTTGGACAGGTGAAGGCTGTTGGCACCAAAAGAATACAAAGTATAGTTGTGAAACAAGAAAGACTGATCAGGAATACAAAGAGGTGTTGAGTGTCACAGTGTCACAGGTTGGGATCTGGCGCTGGCAGCCGCTGATGGAATCTGTGCGGATATTTTCCCTGTGACAGCAGCTGGGTAGAAAAGGGGCTTATAGAATCAAGAAGATGCAAAAGTGGCACACAGGTGATGTCCATAATTCACACTGTCAAAAATAACTTTATCTGCAAACAAACAACTAAGTATCTATATGTACATCAAAAATTTGCAGACCACACAGTGTTGCTTTTCAGTTCACTGTACAAGTATGTTCATTGTTTAGTGATACCCCTCCTACATGAACACTGTCATCACAAGAGGATTGTATATTTAGAGCAGACACTGTATTTGTGCTCGCCAGCTGCAGTGGAAAATCGTGAAAGCCAGCAACACTCAGGATTCTTGAGTCAGTTGAAATGCCCTGTTAGGAATGTCACTGTCTGTGTTCAATTCATATGTGATGTGTGTGATTACTGATTAAAACACACACTCACAAATAAACACACAGCATCTGAGACCGGATGCTTCCACTGACACCACCCCAGGCTCGTATTGATTATTCCACTGAAACCCTGTAATGACTTAGTAATCAATGGCTGGACTGCTGCCCTTTATAAAGCAACAAACACATCAACATCGCGTCATCCTTCCCCTGCAGTTCTGGAAAACATATCTGCCCTTACTCAGCCATGAATGTGACATCACAACCTCACCCCAAGCCTTTCTTATCACTGATAAATCTCTCTGCTGATCTGCCATTTGTTCCAGTTTATTGATATGCATGATATTGATTTTGCTTCAGTGGATTTTGGATTGGGACATAGAGAGGGTGGCATATAGGCTTCTGACAACTGATATCGACTACTAACTTCATGTTGCTTAGAAGAAAAATCAAACCTGAAAGAGGACAAACAAGCAAACACCATCAGGACAAACAAGCAAACAGCAAAAGGGACAAACAGTGTGCTTATCATCATTTTTTACTGTAATTGCTTAGACAATATATTGTGTCTTAATACATGTATTGATCACATGAAATAGCAAGTTTGTTTACCTCAGTTTCCAGAATCCTCAGTGCCTTCAATGCATTGCTGTTTGCTTGTTTGTTTAACCTCGCTGTTGTCTATTCAGCTTTGGCAGGCATTTTAGAGTATCTCACAGAAAATTACAGATGGCACAAAACTACTTGATATTGATGATTATTATACAACTAATTTAATCAGTGATATTCAGAGAAGGCTAATGATAAACTTGGTAATGCACTGTATGACACAGCAAAATCAGGCTGCATTGGAAGAAATGAGCTTTTGGCAACATCTTAAATATAGCCAATATATCTAATATTTATCATTATGAGATTATTGTAAGAATATTGTTTTAGAGAAATTGTCTTATTCTATAGACAGATAATTTAGATTTTTCAAGACATATTGTAGATACATTTGTTTGTTTTGTTTGTTAAAGGTGCTGTGTGTAAGATTTAGGGGTATCTATTAACAGAAATTGAATATAATACACAAAACCATGTTTTCATTAGTGTATAGTCACCTGTAACTACAAATTGTTGTGTTTTTGTTAGCTTAGAATGAACTCTGTACTTGAAGAAGCAAAATAATATTGGGATAGGAGACGGAAAAAAACCTAATGTAGGTTCTACTACACGCTTGGAAAGGAAGAGGTGAGGGAGGGGTATTCAGTTGGCTGCAATCTGCAACCTCACCACTAGATGCCACTAAATATTACACACTGCTCCTTTAAATGACTACAAACAAATACATGCAAATAAGCAAAATAATTTTAGAATATTCTTACAACAATTTTAGAATGATAAATATTAATATGAATATGAATATTAATATTTAAAATATGAAACCAGATTTAACATGATTTCACAATGTATATGTATATGTAGCCCGTGTATGTCATATGTGGAATTAAACTTAAGTTACATAGAGTTGCATGGAAATAAACTTTAGATCTGCATTTTAAACAGGACAGACACTCCTGTGACCGTGTATAAAATGCTATAACTGTACTAAAAGCTGCTTTCAGACAAACAGCAGTAAAAACTTAGCGCATCTATTACAGATTATTTGACAGGCGCCCTGCCGCGGCTTTATTTGACGCATTACGGTAAAAGCTTAGCCGGACCACCATCAGACGAACATGCGCAGGATATAAGCTGCTGACGTGTAGGTAAGGAAGTGGCCAGATTTTGATGATTTTCATTGTAACGTTTGGTCTACTGTGCGACATTTAACATATCTTTAACAACTGCTTGTATAGAAAGGTGTGAAAATGTGCACACAATGTCTGCTACTACAGAAATCCTGGACATCCGCTTTAAACCAGTCCAGAATTTAGCCTGCTTAGCGTTAGCTAACTTAGCCGGCTATCATTCACACACAGGTCTGCTTAGTAAATAGAACAGATGTGGAACATTAGCTTTTCAGTAATATTAGAGTGATTTGTGAAATTGAATTGTGGTCCCTACTCAATAGTCTACGATAAAATAAAAGTAATATGTGAAGTTGCCGGTGTTGTCAGGCACAGCTACCTTTAGCCAACTAAGCTAGCAGTCAGGCTACTGCAGTATCCGATTTGTTATTGTTGTTAACGTTAACTTAAGAGACGGATCAGATGAGGTGCACAGGTGCGGACTGCTGACTACTGTAGTCTGCAGTGTAGTGTAGTGTAGTGCTGAATGGTGAAAAACCTTTCATAATCTAAGTGACCGAACTGACGTGAATAGAAAGTGTGATGGAGCCCAACTTAATCTTTAAACTGAGTCAAATAATTTTCCGAGAATATTAAGAACTATTCCTCAGGTTTTTGTACTAACCAAAGTACTGAGACAGCATTCATTCATGTTGTCAGTGACCTCAGGCTCAGCGCTGATGCACAAACTTGCACAACTTATTGGATCTTAGTGCAGATTTTGATACCGTTGATCACAAGGGTCTGATCCACCATCTTGAATATTGGGTAGGCCTTTCAGGCACAGTTTTAGAATGGTTTTCACTTTATCATCAAAAAATGTAATATTTCTTGTGGAGTCCCACAATGTTCAGTTTCGGGGCCTTTGCTTTTCTCTTTATACATGTTATTTCTAGGTGATGTCATTAGGAAACATAATATCAGTTTTCATAGCTATGCTGATAATCAAGACTGTTGACAGGCTTTCCAGCTGTGTGTCAGATATTTCTTAGTGGGTTTCACAAAACTTTCTTCAATTTAAAAACGAATGCTTTATGACAAGCTCAGTTTTTTAGCTTCATATACCAAACCCGAAGTACGAAATCTGGGTGTAATCTTAGACTTTGACCTCTGTTTTGTCCCACATGTAAACGCAATCACTAAAACAGCTTGTTATCATTTGAGAAATATTGATAAAATCCGGTCTTTTCTATCTCAGAGTGACGCAGAGAAACTTGTTCGTGCATTTGTAATCAGCAGAGTTGATTACTGTAATGCTTTTCTTACTGGGCTCCCTAAAAAAAACAGTCCATCCTCTACAACTCGTACAAAATGCGGCAGCACTAATTCTAACAAAAACAAAACCGAGAGCTCATATCACTCCCGCTTTGAAAAACTGCATTGGCTGCCTGTATCTTTCAGGATAGATTTTAAAGTTCTGCTACTAGATTTCAAGGCTCTGAATGACTGTAAAGCACCTGCTTACATCACAGAGTGTCTGTCTGTTTATGTTCTAGCATGTGATCTTAGATCTGCAGATAATGGCCTTCTGCAAATACCTTCCATAAAATACAGTAATTGTGGAGAGTCGTCTTTCAGTTATAATGCTTCTAAACGGTGAAACTCAATTCCACGTTTTATTAGTCGAGCTCAGTGCTCACATTTGAAACTGTATCTCTTTAACTTAGCATTTAATTAAAATTGTATTTGTTGTGTGTCATTGCATTATATGATTTTAAATTAATAAATTAATACTCAGAATTTCTTCTGTTACTCTTATGCTTTATCACCTGTATGTAAAGCACTTTGAGCTGCCACCAGCATGAAAAGTGCTGGATTATTATTATTATTATTATTATTATCCTCCCTGTCCTTCATTTAGATATTACTCAACTCGAGTAATATTAATCCGATAGCACTAGTTATGCTGATTGTGAAATGTTTGATTTGGAATTGATGCATCTGAACCAGATGTGATTAGACTATGTTTGCAATTTAAAGGACC